TTTTTTTTTTTTTAATATGTCTATATAGTTTTTATTCATTTTTATTTCTGTTTTAGTCTTATTTTTTTTTTGTTATTAGCTATTTTGGTACACCAAGTTAAATGAAAATGAGAAATGTTTTTTTTGGCAATTATATTTTATTTCAGTTAAAGTATATTTTATTCCAAGTAACAAAATAGCGTTAAATGGTTTCAGGGTTATTATAGTTAACTAAAACTAGAACTAAAACTATACAAAGCATTTTTGTTGAAATAAAATTAATGTTAACTGAAATAATATATATACCATGCTTTATATATACTATATATGTTTATATATATATATATATATATATATATATATATAAACCTTAAACTTAATTTTTTTCAGCTAGTTGCCAAGTCATTTAGTTCTAAAATAACTACAACTAAAACTAAAAGGTAATAAATAAAAAAATGTTATTAAAAAAAAAATGTAATGACAATTAAAATGACAAAAACACAAAACAAAATTTCTAAAACTTTAACTTAACCTAGAACTAAAACTATACAAAGCATTTTTGTTGAAATAAAATGAATGCTAACTGACATAAAATATATATAAAAAAACCTTAAACTTTTTTCAGCTAGTTGCCAAGGCATTTCTACTTTTCATTCTAAAATAACTACAACTAAAACTAAAAGTAATAAATAAAAATTAATAAAAAATATATAGCCATATTAAAAAAAATAAATAAATGACAATTAAAATGACAAAAACACACAACAAAATTTCTAAACTTTATCTAAAATTAAAATAAAACAAAATATAAAAATAAAAACTAATTGAAAATATGAATATAAATTAAAAATGTTATAATTAAAATATGAATAAAATTAAAGTGAAAACTATATATATATAATTTGCAATACTAACAAAAACTATAATAGTACATCAGTGACAGTAAAATAACAATACCATGAACATGCAAATGTGTTAAATTGTAGAAATATTACTTAAAATGATTACTTATGTAGAATTATGAATTAAATTATTCAATATTTTAGCTTAAAGGGGTTTGGCTGATAAAAAAATGTGTGAATCCCTGCTTTAATAAAATCTTGTAATTGTGTAAATTAAAATGTGTCTCTTGCATGAATAGCACACAGATACATGTACCGCGGTATTAACGGTAAACTCCCTCCCTCGGGCCGTGTCCGATCAGTGTCAGGTTGTTTATTTGCTTCATCTCTGACGAGAAAAGGCCATCCCAATTATACAGATGTGTGTGGGATGGACAGAGTCTCCTGACCTTTCCGTCTCTCGCTCATAAACCAGAAAAGCGAGTCTGAGGTCAAATCAAACCCCGAGCACAAACTTCCCACTTTGTCTTGTTATTGTGACATCAATAGCTGAACATCGTCTGCGCTCTTATCTGCCTGTTCAATGATTAATAACTGAAAAACTGAAGCGTGTGTTTGAGTGGGATCTCTGTAGATGCGGTGACTCACGCTGGCTGGGTCGTCTGCTTGCTTCTGTGCGTCTACGGCCGTCTCCGGAGCGGTCGGCACTGACACGGGCAGTAACGGAGAGCGGGCCTTCCCGGCCTGACCCAGAGATGCCGTCTTCACCTGTGGTTTGGGTAAAGTCCCACCTGTGAGCAGAAAACATTCCAAACATTAAAAAGACACTTCACCCAAAAATCAACATTCTTTCATCATTTACTCATCCTCACACTCCAAAGCTGTATGAGTTTCTTTCTTCAAAAGAAGATATTTTGAAGAATGTTGGGAACCATTGACCTATACAGTATCGAAAAAATACTATGTAGATCAATGGCTGCCGTCAACTGTTGGGTTACACACATTCTTCAGAATATCTTCTTTTGTGTTCAACATGTAATCAAATGTGACTTGAAGAGTATTTTTGAGTAGTTCACTCAAAAATGAAAAATGCTGAAAATCACCAATGAAACCTAAACATCACTTAAATCACTGTCTCAGCAATGGATGCTCTGCAGTGAATGGGTGCCGTCAGAACGAGAGCTGATAAAAACATCACAATAATCCACAAGTAATCCACAGCACTCCAGTCCATCAGTTAACATCTGGAGAAGACAAAAACTGGAACAAATCCAGCATTAAGACATTTTTAATGTCTAAAATATGAGTCCATAATCCATAATAACTCTTCCTCCGGTGAAAAAGTGCATCTGCTGTTGTCTCTCACATCAAAATCCAGCCACATACTCTCATTCTGACGGCACCCATTCACTGCAGAGCATCCATTGCTGAGACACTGATGCAATGCTACATTTCTACAACCCTGATGAAGAAACAAACTCATCCTGAACTCTGATGATCTGAGGGTGAATGCATGTTCTGCAAATGTTAATTTTTGTGACTTATCTTATCTTTCATCAATGCAATTTTCACTTGGTGCACCTATCCAGAAAACAAGGTAGCTACAAATTGTTTTAATTATTTTCAGCACCAGTCCTGCTGACCCTGAATGCAACAAAATCATGCATTAGCAGTGCAATCTAACTGCAGAAATTGGCAGCACCTGCTCCAGGAACACGTCCTTGTCAAAGCTGTGCATTCATGCAAAAGCGTCAATCAAGGGACAAAACCCCCAAACCACTTCTGCTTTATCAATGGGAGTGATTAGAGAGCAGAATTACTGTTGATTGTTAATGTAGAATTCATTTAACCACCAGAACTCGGTTTTCAATCGAGCTCCGCGTCTATGAAGCCAAGATAAAGTGGTTTCATGTTGTTCAGCTGAATGGTTTTATCAACCTTGTTTTGCAGTGCAGAAGTAAGCTATTTTCCGTGAATGTGCAAAACTACATTAACCATTGTGCATCAGTTTAAGAAAGTTACACTGAGGTCCTTAGTGGACAAAAAACAGACATAAAAATAAGATATATAAACATTTTTTTCCATTTCAGGATTTTAAGCCTTTAAATGGCAGTTTGTTTACAAAATATTTATGAAAACACACAATTATTTTCCATATACTAAATGCTAAGCCGTTTTTAATTTATTTAATTATTTTTTTATTATTACAGTCTTAGATAAGTCAATGACTAGAAAAAAACAAAACATTAATTTAATGCATTATTGTCAGATTTGTTTAAATAGTAAAATTGTTGAAGCCTTGCCAAAAAAATGAAAGCTTATTAACAAAAACAATTTATGGTTTTATGCTTAATTCATGCTAAATTTATGCTGTTTGCATCAGGGTTATTATATTATAGTTAAATAAAACTAAAATCCATAAAAAACATTTTCATTACTTGAAATAAAATAAATGTTAACTGAAATAAAACTAACATAAAAAACGTTTTAATTTCAGCTAGTTTCGAAGGCAACATTTCTCACATTCATTTAGTTTAACAATGTGCTAAAATAACTAAAACTGAAATAAAAATGAGTAATAACTATATAGACGTATTTAAAAACAACCAAATATAATAAAAATGACAAAAACAGAACAAAATGACTAAAACATTAACTAAAATTAACATGAAAGCAGAAAATATAAAACTAAAATAAAAAAATAATAAAAAATACTGTAAACTAATAGTATCTTAATGATACTAAAACATCACTGGTTTGCATTAACCAATATGATAAAAAAAAAAAAAAAAAAAAAAAAAATATATATATATATATATATATGCCTAAAGACACGAAAAAAGAGAACAGAGCATAAAAAACAGTGTCACTACAGAAATGCAAAACTGAGCAGGCAAAATATCACATAACCCCATTATGAGAAAAAACACGCTCAGAAAGATCCAGGCCGCCGGAGGGGCTCGTTAGCATTCGCACCATACTAACTGCTCAATGTTTTTCTGATATGGATTTTCAGTCAACTGTAAAGCAATTTATGAGTCGTGTACGTGCTGGTACTGCTACTCGCTGGCTCGTGCTCATCCCTCTTCAACTCAACGTTCAATTTCAGACCATTAGACAGTGAAACTAATATCCACACAGTTTGATGCATGTACAATACTAGTATCCTGAGCAGTTTAAAGGAGGTTTTGCTGGTGTAGTGCACTAAAACTGGCCTGATGAACCACTGTAGCAGGATCTGGACATCAGGCTGTTTTCCCTCTTTTAAAGGTGCATTGGAGTGGTAAGTGAAATTATCGCTGTCATTTCTCTTCTTGTCACTCGGCCAGAGATGATTAGCGCTCATTAACTTCCAGCCGCCGGCAGATTAGCCAGCCAAGATCTCTGCCGAGCTCATTCAAACCTAAACTCTCACAGAGACGGGAAAAACCAGCCCTTAGAAGATGCTTTAGAGAACACATCTTCAATAGCAATTCATAATCTTCTTCTGCTCCAAACAGACCCTTGTTCAGCGGGAATAAGGTCACTATGAGTGAAACACAGATCAGCCGATTCACTGAGGAATCTCAGAAAAACCATCAAAACACGGATGAGTCACATTTCAACCCCAAACCAGGAGAGACAAGACCTTTCTTTGCATTTTGCATGATAAACATGAAGCCTATTTTTAGAGCCAGTGCATTATTTTCCTTTGCATTACATTCTGCATTACAAAATCAATGAGAATTTGAGGGTTGACTGTCATGAAAATAATGATGCATTATTTAAATCAAAGTATTTAAACATAATGGTAGCACTTGTTGATTTGCATGTAATTTATGCTTTTTTTAAACAAAGTACTACAACAATAACAATCTAATGAGAACCATAAACGAGAAGCTCCTTAAACATCCACATACTTATAGAAATAAGAATTATTTGTTTAATTGTCATGGAAATAATGTCATAATGTGAAAAAAAAATCATACTGGCCCGAAAATATGCCTTATTTTCTTTAAAAACACGTTAAGGATCACATTTCAACCCCAAACCCATAAGAAGCGAGCTTTTTGTTGCATTTTGCATGACAAAAACGAAGCCTGTTTTTAAAGCCAGTGCATTATTTTCCTTTGCATTACAGTAATGAGAATTTGAGGGTTAATTGTCATGATGCATTATTTTGGATGATGCGAGCATTTATAAATAATGGTAGTATTTGCTGATTTGTCCTTAATTTATTCTGATTTAAATAAATAAAACGTTGTACTACAACAATGAGAATCTAATGAGAAACATAAATGAGAAAAAGAAATTAAGCTCCTTAAACAGGAATTGTTGAATTGTCATGAAAATAATGTCATAATGTGAAAAAATCACACTGGCTCTAAAATCAGCCTCATTTTCTTCATGCACAATATATTTTCTTTTGTTTTGGGGTGAGATGTGAGCTGTCTTCATGAGATTCTCCATAAGTCAACACTCCTCCCTCTCTCTGCTCCTCTTTGTCTTTATATTCTGACAAACTGCGTATCTCTCAGTCGAGGACAGTGTGTGTTATGGTGTGTGAAATGGCTGGACGGTTTAAAGCGCTTCAGGTCCGTCTGCCACGCAATCCCTCACATCAGCTTTAAAAACCCCATTTAACTTGCGGTGAAGTGGCCACATCCTGGGAAAAGAAACGCTTGATAAAAGCAAGAGAAAACATCTTCGCCAAAGACAGAGCACAAATTTGACAAGCCGTAAATGTTTCAGGTTAATTCAACTAAATTGTCTAAATAAAAATGCATGAAGGATCTCCAGTGTCAGAACTTCTCTGGACTCTCTGATGCCTTCAAGTTAAAAGAGACTCTGATAGATTGATCCGTCTCTCTCGGGCAGGAAGGAGACGGCTTTAAATTCTTCTTTAAAAGACGGATGGACTCCTCTGAAACAAGATGAACAAAGGCGAGTCTGTGAAGCTCGCGGATAGTAAATATAAACCCGACAGCCCTCAAACGCTCAGTCGTCTCCTGAGGCCCTACGACTTTAATTCTGCTGCATTCTTTCCTTTATGAGAGTCGATGCACGTCTGCAGCGTTTCACCCCGCAGCTGATTACACTCACGGCTCCTGACGACAATTAATTAACACGAGTAAATCAAAGCATTAGTGATACAACACAAGCTGTGATAACGAACTAACTGGGCGTGTTTACTTGATCAGTCATAATTCACGGTGTGAGGGAATAAGAAACGATACAAAGTTCAAACGAGTGATTGATTTCTCAAACAAGCCTTATTCACAAGTGCAGCACAGAGATGAACAAGAGACAGAACGACATGACACTCGAGTCAGAAAAACTCAACGCAAATGAAAGAGTCGAGAAAACCACGACTGAACCTCACAGACAGTCAGAATGATAGATAGACAGACAGACAGACAGATGATAGATAGATAGACAGACAGACAGACATACAGACAGACAGATAATAGACAGACAGACAGACAGACAGATGATAGACAGCCAGACAGACAGACAGACAGACAGACAGATGATAGACAG